TTGTTCATTATCCATGGTGTCCCACATTTGGTTTTTCTCTTTTTCTGAGAAAAACTAACGATCCTATCTGAATACCTATAAATGTGAACCAGTTTCCACCAGATAGTTTGCTGCTTTATGCAACAGATGCCAAACCGATTCCGTGGCTATTATATGTTGACACGTCCACGTCATTCAAGGCGTCGGCCCAAAAAAGTCCCCTTGAAGGGAATCACCGAGATGAAAATATATAATCATCCCTGTAGTCTGCATATGGGGAAATGCGAAGCAACTAATAGTCCATGTTCCACCTTCTTGCAATCTTGGAGTAACAGTAAGTCAGGATAATTTCGTGCAACTTCAAGGCGACTAAGTCTTGAAGGAAATTACTGTAAGGCTTGAAGAAGCGACTAATGTCCAATGAAGGTAGAAAGCACGATGCCCGGATAGTACGTGTTTGGATTTGAGTTTCGTCAGAAGCTGAAAGTCTGTCCATAGCTCGCCAACCTTGAGAGAACCGTCAAAGCTCCTTGAGGCATACACTTCAAATTCATCCGACGACGAAGACATTGTGCGTATATACTCATTCAAGGAAGTCAGAATGTTCTAGTATTACCCCTTATAAGCTCCAAACTGACCATGATATGATTAAACGGATTTATCTGTGATCTTGCCCAGCTGCCTTTCTACTAGGTCATCTTTGTATGTGAGTGGGAGAGGGAGGGAGAAGGGGATCAACGTGGTCTTATTGACTCCACCAACTCGATGAAAGACTGTATTTCATCACATCAATTGAACACTCTCTTTGACGGCGCCATATCAGCTCGCAGTGAGGTCACTGGAGGAGGTAAATCAGCACTCTAAACCACAAATTGAATCGAAGTGCTTCTAGTGCTGTGAAAATGTGCGAAAGGAAAAGGAGGTGTGAACAGTTCTGGTATCATTTACCCTGTACCAAGTGCTACTCTACTGCGCATCGATTTTCTTCGAGTGAACGTAGTCAATTGCTTCAATCTTGGACCAGTTTAATAGTTCTAGCTTGGGTGACCCTAAGTGGACCATTCCTTCTGCACAGAAATATAAAATTGGCAAATTGAATTCGTTCCTAAAATTGAAAAATATGTCGATGACATATCTATCATCATTAGTCGAACATTTCAGTCGTTCTGATTTGCAACGCAGTTGGGCAACGCAAGCACGACGTGTTCGTCGTCCGATGAATTCGCATTCGACGGCATCCGTCGAGATTCAGACAAGTCAACAACCAGTGCCATTTATCCCGCCTCCAGGTAAGGCAATAACTTTGTTACCGGTCGGTTACCATAGCGCTTATCCGAATGAGTTTTGAATGTGTTGTTTGCTATCACTATCCAACGTTTCCGTTGCAGGTTATTACTCGGAAGTAATGGCCACAGACTCGTCCGCTATGTATCCAATGTATGTTCCACCGTATTCAATGAGTAACACACCGCAGTTGTCAATGCGGGATCCAAGGCGCTTTCAGGTGAATATCCGAGAATATTTATTCCAAAGGTGCACTAGTCGGTTTAGGCGATGCTAGAAAAGAGGGGTTAGAATTCTTGGGACCTCTCACATCTGA